CATGAGAAGAAGATTAACATTAAACAGGGATGAGAGGTGGGAGGGAAAGGGAGAGAGAAGGGAAATTGCATGGAAATGGAAGGAGACCCTCAGAGTTATACAAAATTACATACAAGAGGAAGTGAGGGGAAAGGGAAAAAAAATACAAGGGGGAGAAATGAATTACAGTAGAGGGGGTAGAGAGAGAAGAGGGGAGGGGAGGGGGGATAGTAGAGGATAGGAAAGGCAGCAGAATACAACAGACACTAGTATGGCAATATGTAAATCAATGGATGTGTAACTGATGTGATTCTGCAATCTGTATACAGGGTAAAAATGGGAGTTCATAACCCACTTGAATCAAAGTGTGAAATATGATATATCAAGAACTATGTAATGTTTTGAACAACCAACAACAAAAATTTAAAAAAAAAAAGAAATCATATGTGAATGGAAAAGAAAAAAAAAAAGTAAGTTGGGCAAATAATCATTTTAACATAAATTTTCCAAGTATAGAATCTCATGCAGTGCACCCCTCCCACTCCAAATACAAAACAAAGCATTAATGCAACCTGTTTCTATACACAGTATCTTGATAACATTTTAAAAATCATAAAAATTAGGTAAAATACAATAAGCTTTTAGCAAATGTAATCATAATTCACTATTATTTGACACCATTGAAATCAACTACCACTCAGCAATTTTAGAGTAATTTCTTTTTGTTTTCACCTTATAATTTTCATATTACTATACTGGTAACATGCTCAAAATCCTTCCTGCAGTAAATTATTTTATTAACGGATATCTGTCCACCTTAAGACAAACTTCATTCACAGAGAAAAATGTAAGAAAGAATGTATAAATCCTATATTCAGTTTACTGATAGATTTTAGCACTTGACTGAACATCATAAAACTAATCCAAATAACTTTCTTTGGCTGAACACAACACAGATCCTGTGTTCATTTATTGTGTCTACTGGCAGTTAACCAAACAGCTAAAGGATATGATATAAAAGTGAATATTGAGCTGGAGGTGTACCTTTGTGATAGTAGAGTGTTCTTAGCTCACAAAAGGGCCTATGTTAAATCCAAAAAAAAAAAAAGATGAATGTAATGTGATATTCTGCCCCTATGTTGCTCAAAGTTTCCTGAAAGAAATATTCATAATACCATATGAAAATGCTACAAAAGGTATAAAGTACTTTGAAAAACACTGGAAGTAGAAGTCAATGAGAACATATAATCAAATAATTTTCTTTTGAAATGAAACTTTTTTTTTTTTCTTTTTCTTTTTCTTTTTTTTTTTTTTTTTTTTTGAGATTGGGGTCTTACTGTGTTGCCCAGGATGGTCTTAAATCTCCTGAACTCAAGGGATCCTCTAAGGGCTGAGACTACAGGCCACCACACCCAGCTCAGATTTCTTATAGACTTACCAAAGGAGGTAGAAGGACATTGGTGTTTGAACTGAATTACAGTGTTATCTGAGCATTTTTACCCTTTAAAATGAACACTGATCTAATCTGTAATAGAATCTTTGCTAAAAGGAAAACAGCTATAAAGAAAATATTACATCAAAGCTAAGTACTGGAGTTTATTTGAAATTTGATATTTTATACAAAATAACAAACCCTATTATAGATTTCTAAAATAAAGTAACTCAATCTTTACAAAACAGTTGGCATCCATTTGTTCTCTTACTTTTTCTTTAAAAACTTAAGTGTGGTAGGTGGTAGTATCTGATTTTCATAAGAATCCTCTGTTGATTCAACTTATTTATTCAGACATTTACTGTGCCAACTTGCACTAGAAATAGAAATGCCTTGGGCTGGGATTGTGGCTCAGTGGCAGAGCGCTCGCCTAGCTCACCTAGCTCCTGCGAGGCCCTGGGTTCAATCCACAGCACCACATAAAAACAAGTAAAATAAAGGTATTGTGTCCATCTACAACTAAAAAACAAATTTTTAAAAAAGAAGAAATATAAATGACTGTGGTCTAAAAAAATTCTAGAATGAACACAGGTCTTCTGCCTTCAGATTCCCTCTGCCCTCCACATTCTAACCCTTTAACATAAATCTAGTTATTAAAATAATACAAATCATCTCAAAAAAATAATATAAAATTTTATGTGTATATACAGATAATCTGTGAGGTCATTGTTCTTTTCTGGGTAGACTTAATAATGTTTGTTTTATCTCATTTTTCAGTGTTAGAATACGGGTCAATTTTAATTTTGGTATGATATGGAAAATGGCTCATCTTTATACAAGAAATAGGATTCTTTTGATATTTGGACAGTTGGAAACTTTCTAAAATTAAGGATTTTGTACTGTATATTCAACAACTGCATATTGTATTCACAAAAATGTATTTGAAGTTTGTTAATATTAAATACTTTTTTCCAAGGAAATTGCTGTCATGTCTGTTATTTCTATAAACTACAAACATTCCTGAGTTAAGTCCTTCCCCAATTTGACCCCCTCCCCCGCCAGATTCTGCAGAATTCCTTCTTCCTAAATTGAAGCAAATTGTAAAACAATGATCTTTAAATCACCGAAGAGGAATTAGTTTCCCATTTGTTGCTGAAGTTATATATAAATATACATTATAGTTTATTTGCACTATTTTAAATGCTGCTTATGCAACTTACGCTAGATATATTAAGGGCTATAAAAGTGCTCTTTCTAGGAGTCTATTCTGAGAATATGAGGCCCTCACAAAGATTTAATTGTAGATGATTATCAAAGCATTGTTTTAACAACAAAAAGATTATGATCTTAAAATTTATTTTTCTGATTATAAAAATAATTCACAAAATACTATCTTAATATTGGCTACTTCAATTCCCCCAAATGGTTTCAGTCTTAAGCTAGAATAGCTTGTTTTATGGAGAACACCACCAATACTTGTGCCCTGGAGGAGAAATATTCATTTGAAGGTGAAGCCAGATTTAAAGGTAGGTTGGTAGTGTAGTTAGGTAAATCAGGTCTAATATCGAGTAAGATAAAGAAAATGGAGACCATTATTGAGAATGGAGTCCAGGAAACCAGAGCAGCACTTGGGGAAATTGAAATGTTAATGTCCCCAAGTCCCGGAACCCATCCTAAGGAAATGTTAATGAAGTAGCTCCCAGCAAACAACTACCCCAGGCCCTTCCTGCCCAGATTACTCCTCCAACCCACCTATCTCCCACCTTATGGCCTTCCCACAAGCACATTCTATCACTGCAAGATAAAGGGAAACAAAGGACATGAATGTGGGAAAACTAAAAGAAGACCTTAGCTATAAAAAAGGGAAGACCTCGCCCTTCCACGATTCCACCTTTTGGGTCCCCTTCCTCCCAGGAGAAGTCTTTTCTGCTGTCCTTTAATAAAGCCTTCCACTTTCCACTCTACACTTGCCTCCGCATGCTTCTCTGGTGTTATACTTCAGCATTCAGGGAAGCAAGGACTGGTAAACAGCGGTAACAACGGGTCAGTTCACTGGTACTATGATTTAATATGCAATTTTAACCAGATCCAACAATTACAAGAAACAATAGGAACTGACTTGACACAGATAGACCTCAATGTTTTTAAGGGAATGGCCTGATGATTGTAGATGGTGGTCTTCTCGGAACACCAACTGATGGACAAGGTCTCCCTATGACTGTGATGAAGCAAAACAAACAAGACCAATTCATAATTTTGTTTAAGGAGAGACCAAAAACAACAAGGTCACTGCAATCCATAAAAACATCTGCTTTTATTATTAACTGTAACTACACAATAGTCTGTAGTCTGGTAACACTAATACTAGATGGGTAATTCTGATTGTCTATGCAAAACAGACAAAAATAAAGTGGGTACATAATAAATTTCTGTGTCCACAAAAAGGTCTAAAATTCTGTCTTTAAGTCAAAGGAATTTAAAATTACATTTGGAGGAACATATACAGTCCAATAAAAACAAGCCTATTATATTTAGAACTACTAAACAGATTTGGGTCTTGTTGACTCGCTAATTAGATGTTTTACCAAAGAAAAGGCATGTAAATTGTATTTAGAGATTCAAAATAATGTGCGTTTTTAAAAAGTAATTACTGTTAGTGGAAATAATGAGTTTTTTAAAAATAACTACTGGGTTACCATTGTGAACCATCTGAACCGGTCTTCACTCTTCCTATACTATCAGAAATTAACTGAAAAAAAATTCAGAAATATAATTATCAGTTACTATTAACTAAGGCAAACAAAACATTAATTGCAAATAAAACACAAAATCAGCTAAGATATATTATTAATGCTAAGAAGACTTTCGCTTTTTAAATAAATTGAATCGAAGGCACATACTTTAAATATGAGTGCGAAGGCAGACGTTTTCACAATGTTAAGTGGTGTTATGAAAATAATTATATGAGAATCTAATATCAGGAAGTTTAGCTTTATCTTTAGAGTCTGGCCCATATAGGGACTAAACAGCGTGTTTCAATTATTACTTTAATTTCGTTTATTTATTTGCGGTATTGAGATTAAACCCAGGGGCACTTCACCATTGAGTTCCATCCACAGCCTTTTTTATTTTGGATTTTGAGACAGGGTCAAAGCTGACATCCAACGTGCAATCATTCTGCTTCCCGAAAGTCTGGGATTACAGGCTGTGTCAACCGCTCCCACCTAAACTGTGTGTTTTAAATGATTTCCTAAACCACAAAATTCCGTTTCTACAACATAACATTCTCCTCCCCCCCAAATAGTCATAACGTTATTTGGCATGCCCTCACAGAATATAAGAATATTATGCTTGAAATGCATTTACTGATTCTAAAATCAGTTACATCTCGCTTTTCCATTACTGCGCTGCTTGCAGTTTCACTTTACCCGGTCTAGGACGTCACCAAACCTAAGGGCTTAGGAACACCGCAGAGCAAACGCGTCGGGCCAGGTTTCCAGCACCTCCCCGACGCTTCCCCTTTAAATGCTCAAGTGGGCGAAGCGCTACGTGACGGACTACAGCGCATGCGCACAGACGCAAGCCGCAAGGGGGAAAAGAGCCGTGAAGCACGAGCTGGGTCCAGGGCTGTCGGCCCTGGCAAGCTGGACTGGGACTTGGGCCAGCGCAGGCAGCTGTCGGGACGTGTCAGCGTTCGGCCGCCTGGGGCTCGGCTCCCCGACTCGCCCAGGTTCGGGTGCCTCATTTTGCCTGTTTGCAACTGAGGACCTGCTCGGGTCGAAGGCACGCGGGGAGGCTGCGACGGGCGGTGGGCGGAGCTCTCCAGATCTGACTGCCTATTGGCTGCCTTGCTTTCCCTTCCGCCTTTCCCGTGGAGTCCCAGCGCAGTCCAAGTGTGTGGAGACCCAGCCCTAGAGGGTGCACCCCTGCTTATAACAGTGAGCCTTCTCGCCCAGACGAGTTGGAGCTCTCCATCAGCACATTTCTGGAAGGAGTTTGAGTTTATATTTCTTTTTGTGTTGGTGGAAGATGTTGGAATCTATATTTGCCTCTAAATGAGTGTTTTGGAGGCAACTTAAATGACTTTCTCTTAGAAACGTTCTGTTTTCTCCCTCAGGTGTTCATATCCTTATTTTCCATGACAGATCTTGATGACACTGTATGCAAAAGATACATGAAGATGATTACAAACATAGTAATATTGAGCCTGATCATATGCATTTCCTTAGCTTTCTGGATTATGTCAATGACTGCTAGCACCTATTATGGTAAGTAAGAATGTTCTAAATTGTTTTTCTGTAGTTGGTGGAATTTGAGACTGTACCTTTATAAAATCCAAAACTGACGTCGTGAGCAAGCTACGCTGTTAGCATGGACCAGACATGTTTGTCTCTTTTCACAATATCAGATTTTTTTTTTAAATATTTATTTATTTATTTTTAGTTTTCGGCGGACACAACATCTTTGTATGTGGTGCTGAGGATCGAACCCGGGCCACACGCATGCCAGGCGAGCGCGCTACCGCTTGAGCCACATCCCCAGCCCACAATATCAGAATTTATTGAATAACAAATTCACAAGCTATGTAACTTTTATCAGTGTTAATTCACCAAAAATAGTTATGGTTTACTTGGTGTCATAACTGAGACAATCACAAATTCTTTTATTCCATTCCAATATTTATTAATATCTGTAACACTTTATGCAAAGATAGATAATTTTCAGGAATGGTTAACAGTGATCCAGGGGTTTCTGGAGGCTGCACTCAGTGCAAAGCAGAGAGCAGATTCAAGCGAAAAAGAGTCATGTAGGTGGTCAGATAAAATTATAAACCTACCAAAGAATTTATTCAGGGGAAGGAGCTGTCAAGGCTGGGTACTTATTCTAGGCAATTTCAAATGGGCTGTGTCAAGGAGGGAGATCAAATTGAGCTGAAGCCTTGGAGACAGGAATTTGGTTACCTCTCAACCTCTTGATGTGTTGAGATGATGTGGTGAGGGGCTCAGTGTGTCCCATGCCTCTAGGTTCTCTTCCTTTTTGTGTGTTTCATATAAAGGTGTGGCATCTAGTGAAACTTGATAAACTCACAGGCATGCCTGGTTTCTGTGATGTGGGTTTGAAACACCTGTGCACCATGTGCTGATTTAAATTAATAAGTTCACTAGTGGTCATTTTTAATTAGCACAATTAATGTATTGTATCAGTTTGCACATTGTTTTGTGCATCTGAGGGTTATTCGTCACTATGTTCGGTATGTACAATATCTGTGGTTATCTATTTACCCAGACGAATTACCGAATCTTTCGCCTAAACACTTGTACTCAAAATGGAGCAGCTAATGGCAAACTGCTGCTTTATAAAATGGAGTAACTCAGGGCTAGGCACTGCAGGTCTATACAGCATGAAGCAACTCAGAGCAGAACATACCTGCTCTCCACACACATCCTCTGAATGGTTGTGAATGTTTGTGTGTCTTACCTTTGATAGCCTGAATTTAGTTTACTAACCTGATAATATAAACAGTTCCATGAACATTTTAAAAATTTTAGTAAATGCTCTTTATGGTAATACTCTTTATACCTAACTCAAAATGTCTTTATATTTCATATAATTATTTTGTCCACTTTGGTGAAAAATAAGCACCATAAAACATTTGTGAAGCAATTTCAGTGATATTTTAATTTTGATAAGAATATTTGTAATACAATTGATCAATTTTATGTATTCTGTAGTAAAAATTAAAGGCAGTATAATCTTTACATTTGGAAATTTAAAGGATTTGAAGAATTTGTCTGCTGTTTGATAACTTCAAAAGAACTCTAGGATTGAGGGTATCGCTCAATCTTAGAATGTTCGCCTAGTAAGCAAAAGCCCTGGGTTTGATCCCCAGCACTGCCAAAAAAAAAAAAAAAGAAGGTCTCCATTTAAAGCCTGAAGCCACTTTGTATAAATATTAGGCACTTTGGATTCAGATCCTGCTTTAGAGCATAAGCGTGCCTGTATACAAAGTTCCTTGATACCTCTATAAAAACAGCAGTGGTCAGTTCATAACAAAGGAAAAAGTGGTAAGGAGAATGAGAAAGTGAACTCATGTATAGTTGAACTCATGTATGGTTATGTGATTATGATTGCTCTTTCAGAACTTAGTCCTTGTGCAAAAAGACATATAAATAATCAGGTGTTGTACAGAGCTTTTGGGACTGATTATTGATAATGATGCATAGTAGGGGAGAGGGTTTGAGGGAAAGGAGATGAGAAGAAACTTCTTGTGTAACTAAATAGAAAGAACTAGAATGTCTAAACTGAAGTGTCCCCCTAGGCCCAAGTGCCTGATGCAAATGAAGGAAGCTGTGCAGATTTTTGCATATTAGACATGGATCAATAGTTTTCACATCCAGAAATAGGATTTTTCCTATTTTGTGTTGTTAACTTGACCTTCTTTGTCTTTTATTTTCCCATTTTTTATAAAAAGATGGACACAAGCAGTTATTCATGTTTTTCTTTACCATAAAGAAATCATTCAGTTTTAGTACCAGTGGTGAAAATTTTAAATGGAAAGGTTGTGGCCCCTCTAAAGGAGGTGGCCTTTCTTCTTCAGTTGTTCTGCCATGTTGGTCAGTTTCTCTTTTAAACAGACGTTAAGAATAGGAATTTTTATATGAAATTTCCTCATCTTTAAATATTAACTCAATTATTTGAAAATACTATGCTAGCTAAAATATCCATGAACTAAACAAAATATCTGTGAGCTGGATGTAACCTTTAGAAAAATGTTTGAGATACTCTTCATCATAAATAGCTATAAAAAGTTCTGAAAACTTTGTAATAGTGACTATTCCCCCGGAAGACTACCCCTCTGAAAATACATAAGTCTCAGCATAAATGTTCTACTTTGATGACTTATCTCAGTTCCTCTACTTAGGACAGTATTTGATCCAGAATGCTGTTATCAAAGCTGATTCACAAAACTAAACTATGCAGACTTCACATGACTCATGCTGTATATTTATAACTTTTCAGGTAACTTACGGCCTATTTCTCCCTGGCGTTGGCTATTTTCAGTTGTTGTTCCTGTTTTGATTGTCTCTAATGGCTTTAAAAAGAAAAGCCTAGATTACAGTGGAGCTTTGGGAGGTATGTATTTATTTACAATGCTTAAAGTAACTATATAATAAGTATTTGTTTATATAATATAAACTTGTGTTTTTTAAATTCTGAATATAAGATTATGAATTTTAATGTTACATATTTTAGACAATAATAAATTATGCATTGCTCAACATTCCTATTCTGTCAGAATTCAGGAACAAACATACTTTTAGTGTAACATACAAATTTAACTTCATAATTGACATAAAGTAGATTAATTAGGATAGAATTACAAGGACCTTGACTATTATGCTCCTTTTGTTAGATTAGTTAGTCTTTTGACACTCTTCATAGATGTAAATGGAGGATTTAGAAAGAATAACTATTGAAAATTGCTTGAGTAATTTCAAGCAGATCAGTTCAAACCTGGTGTTCTTCGTAGTCTAGATTAATTTTTCAGAACTGAGTTGTGACAGGCTGTTTGTTTGTTTGTTTGTTTATTTATTCATTCTATTACTAGGGTTTGAACTTGGGCCCTCTACCACTGAATTACCTCCCTAGTCCTTTTTATTTTTATTTTGAGGCAGGGCCTCACTGGCCTTGAACTTGTAATCCTCCTGCCTCAGCCTCCTGAGTAGCTAGGATTATAGATGTGAGTCACCATGTGGAACTCATTTGTTATTCTTTTAGCAAATACTTACCACTTACTACTGTGTACTGCTGTTCTTAGAAACTGGGGGTATAGCTATGAACAAGGACAAAGTTTCACTTCTCCTAGAATTTTTATTCTTTAGGAGCAATAAATAATAAGTAAATCTGTAAAACTTTTCAAATGATGAATTTTATGAAAAAAATAAAATATAACAAAGTATATATGGTGGAAGATCTAAAACATTCTTCTGTAGAGAGGAGAGCATCAGATGTTTTTCTCATAAGGAGGTAATTTGGTGCTGAAACCCAGAGAAGCCAACAGTGAGAAAGTCTAAGAGAAGCATATTCTGGGCTGAATAACAAGCTAGGCCTGACATCTACAGGACTGGCTTATTTAAGAATGAGAAGAAGGCTCATTTGACTAGGAATAGTAAGAAAAAGAAAAGTAATGAGAGATAACATTGAAAAAGTAGGCAAAGACCAGGTTATATTGGAGCTGGTAGACCACAGAAAGGCTTTTATTCTAAAGTAGGTGGAATCTCTCTGCTTCAAATCAGAGGAGTGGCATGATCTGATTTGACAAGATAACTTTAGTATCCTTCCATTGTTGAAAGAACCAAGCCTTGAAGGTTACCCCTAAATATTTCCTATGGGATGCTATTACTATAGGATGAGGATTATGTAGAACTGGCAGATCTTGAAGTCATTTACTAAGCCAACCTTTAAAATACTATTAATCTTTAGCCTCTGTTGCCCTGTAAGTACATTCTTCCCCCTCCATATTTATGTACAGAAGGCATTCCTCGTAAAGTTTTATAAACTAGACTAAACTTTCATGGAAGCAAGATAATGTGATGGTAAAAGAACAAGCACTAGAATCAGGCAGAATTAATCTGAATGGTAGTGATGGCTTCAGGAGAGTCTCATGTTATTAATCTCTCTCTGTCTCTGTTTTCAATATCTAATAGAAAAGTATATATCATGCAGTCCATGGAGCTTAAACTTGAGGTCATCTCACTTGCAATGGTACCTTCCAAGGCCTTTGGGGAGAGCCCTACGAATGTGCTCTTATGGTCCTATGGTTTTGTAAATTTTGCATAAGTAAAAGGTATTTTTTACTCTTTTTTTCTTCAAGAGCGTCCTCTAAGTTTTAAAAGTATAGCACCCCACAAGGCCTAAATCTATCCCTGATTTTATTCTTAGGGTCGTAGGATTAAGTGAAACAATTACCATAAAGTTTTTTGTTCACTGGACACATGAGCCAACATGTATTGTAAGGTAGGCAGATTTCTTCAGAATTATGCTAATTCCCTTTCTTCAGAATTGAGAAATATTGCTAAAATTCTGTTTATTTCCACTCTCCACCCCATGGGATAGTTGAGAATTAAAGTTAGCTAGACACACTGGTATTTTTTATATAAATTGTGTCATAATATAATCAACGAGTATTAGGAATGGCTATGTATTATTTATTTAACAAATGCTTATGTCACACTTAAGCATGTTCTGGGCATTCCTCTTAGCACTTTGGCAATATTAATTCATTGTAACAAATAATTTGAAAAAGCTCTGTTTGAGTATAAAAACATAGAATTATGTTTTACTAAAAAATGTTCTCTCTTAGCCAGGCATGGTCGCACACGCCTGTAATCCCAGTAGCTCAGGAAGCTGAGGCAGGAGGATCACAAATTCAAAGCCAGCCTCAGCAACAGCAAGGCATTAAGCAATTCAGTGAAACCCTGTCTCTAAATAAAATACAGAATAGGGCTGGGGATGTGGCTCAGTGGTTGAGTGTCCCTGAGTTCAATCCCCGGTACCCCCACCCCAAAAAAAAAAAAAAAAAATTCTCAGGTATCCTTGCCTTGATACTAAGAAGGGTCAAGTTTTTTTCAGTTTTCGGTGGACACAACATCTTTATTTTATTTTTATGTGGTGCTGAGGTTCGAACCCAGTGCCCCGTGCATGCCAGGCAAGCGCGTTACCGCTTGAGCCACATCCCCAGCCCCCAAATTCTTGAAGTTCTGTCTTTGACTTCCATACTATGTATTGTCCTGGTTTCCTTCTCTTACTTTTCTCCTCTCCTTTGTCTCTTTCCTACTACCATATCTTCTCTTTTAGCCCTTGGGCCTCTACTCCTCTCCTACCTACCTTGATTCTGAATTAAAAGATATATATTTGAAAACTAATTCTGACACCTGTACTTGATGTGAATTTTGGCAAGTCATCTAACTCCTAAGATCCTTACTTTCTTTATCTCTTATGAAATAGGTCACGCCTTTGGCGAGACTCAAAGAAGATAATGTGTGAGACAGCATGCCTTTATAATCTATAAAACATATAAACATTGAGTGTTAATGATTATCTGTTTTCAACAATGGTTTTTATGTGGATGACTATTAATTTAGCATTACCACAAACATTAGTTTCTTTCTCCTTATCTCTACTCATTCCCCCAACTTCTCTCCTACCTCATTATATATACTTGTGGGGGCATACCAGGGATTGAACTCAGGGTCATTCAGCCACTAAGCCACATCCCCAGCCCTATTTTGTATTTTATTTAGAAACAGGGTCTCACTGAGTTGCTTAGTGCCTCACTTTTGCTGAGGCTGGCTTTGAACTCGCAATCCTCCTGCCTCAGTCTCCCAAGCCGCTGAGTATATATACTTCTTATTATATACTTCTTCTTATTAGTGTAGAGAGAGATTCAGAGTTCTAGAGGGAAAACAAGGAAAGTTTCAGAAAACTGAAATTAATTCTCCTAGAGGAAGAGTAAATGAAGTATTCCAATTGGGAAGATTATGTGGTTTGAGGCTTCGTAGGATTTAATGAGTTATTCACATTGAATAGGATTCAAATCTGATAAAGTCATTACTTTGCTGCCAGCACTATTAGATGGAAATTGTCAAATAAAATGGAGGGAAAAATGTTTTTAACTTCTTTTTCAGTAGTAACTGATGTTTGAAAAGTCAGGTAGCAAAAATATAATATGTATGTTTCTAAAACTTATCTTGGTATTATAATAAGCAACTTGATCTGCTTGAGATCAAAGGACACCTACTGACTGGATTATAAACTCCTTGAAGACCAAGAATGTGTCTTAAGCCTCCGTGTCCTATGTTTCTCTGACTAGTGCTAGACACAAAATAGGTGCTTAGAAAAATAGATATACATTGACTTAAAAACTTTTTCCCTTTTTCTGAATCCTTTTATTCTATGACATGTTCTGTTTAGGACTTTCCTTGCCTTAAGGGTAAAAAAATGTAATGTTTATTCAAAGTATATTAGAAAGGTTTGGGATGTATTTCAGTGGTAGAGTGTTTGCCTGTCATGCATGAGGTTCTAGGTTCAATTTCCAGCAAAAAAAAATGTCAACTCGGGACTGGCATTGTAGCTCAGTGGTAGAGTGCTCACCTAGCAAGCATGAGGCACCATCCTCAGCACAACATAAAGATGAAATAGATATTGTGTCCACCTACAACTAAAAAATACATATTAAAAAAAAGTCAGTGTATATCATAGTAGTTGGTAATACTTTCCTGAAGAAGTGATGGTATTCATCTGTAGCATTGAGTTTACCATGAGAAGTTATGCATGATGTAAAATGCTTAGCCTGACACCTGACAGATATAATATGTGTTTTCTTAATAACAGATATTATTGTTCTCCCTCCACTACTACTCTTCAGTTTTAAGGAATGTTTGCTAAGCTTTGCTGTGTCATGCTTTTAGCTTTTGGTGTGCTTAGAATTAATAAATGGGAGTTACAGAACTTTCTTGAAGATCTAAGTACTTAGAGTCAGTCCTTCATGATACAGGTACACATACCTTAGTATTGATAGGATGGGAAAGGGATGAGGCACTGCTTAATTCAGACACTGAGGTGAAGGCCCTGGTCTCCTGGAGAGAGAGGATGAAATGAAGGGGGTGAGTGGAAAAGTACTCGTGAGCTACAAAGCCCTGGGCACTGGGCAGGCAATTTACTCCAAGGGAAGTGTTGTCTGCTTGTTGTTGACATGGTTCTGACAGATTATTGGAAGCTTTTCTTTGAACATGTAAACACGGACAGTTTATTATTAGGCTTTTGGCATGGCGAGTTTCAGTTTCATTTGCCAAGAAATTAGGCTTAATGGTTTACCATTTTTCATTAATTTTCAACAAATATTTAGTGATGGTTCCATGTATGCCAGTCACTATTCTGAGCACTTAGAATTTTAACAGTGAATAATATGGATTAAAATCTTACTATCATATGACTTACATTTCTCTTGAGGGAAGTCAGTAAATGATAGGTTTGATTCTATCTGATCCCCTCAGGAGGAGTTGCTATAAGCATAAGGAAAGTGCACAGCAAAGGTGAGGTGTTACTGGTAAAGGCCCATGGTGATACTCTGT